CCCCGAGCTCCCGCCCAGGAACGATCACGCTATATCTACCTCGTTGGGGCCCAGGGCACGTGCGCAGAGGGTCAATGTCTCGGCGGGCCCCCCTGCCGTTCCCCTACAGGCCCACAGTCCCACTGCGAGATGATGTCTGCGATGGGAATGATGAGCCCCAGTTTGAATGCGCCCGCGATGACCCAGGACTTGCTTGGGCGGGCATCGCGCGCGCGGACTCGCAGCGCACAAGCTAGCTGACTCCGTCGTGCATCAGCCTCGTTTGAATACGGTATGCTCACAGCTTCATTGGGGTATTGAGGCCGAGCTCCTTCCGCTCTTTGACACTGATCAGGGGGGCTTTAAAAAGTGCGTTGGGAGGAAGAATGGACCCCGGCACCGGCGCGCCACCGCGGGAGGCGCCCTCGCTCGCCAGCTGCCTGCAGCCACCAAGTTTGCGCGTGCATTGCGCCTGTTGCAGATGCACGTTCTCGACGTATTAGCTGCCATTCGCAGATAACCTGTCGAAAACGCGCGCCAACGGCGGTGCTCGCATGCGTTTGTCGCGGCGGAGGGCAGGGGGGGGAGGTTGAGATCGCACGCGCCGCGCAGCGTGTCCATTGTCCTCACATACCTCCTCGAGTAGATCTTTGGACAAGGCTCTACTCGCCTCGCACATTGGGCCCGAGCAGGAGGAGAGGGGGCTCGCCGAGCCGGGGGATTTTCACGACGCGGATCTGAGGGCACCTTTGCGATAGGCCAGGCCTTGTTCATTGCGAAGTTCAGCGCGATGAGTGGGCTGAAGTTTGGGAGGGGGTCTTGCGGGAACCAGGCTTGAACTCGCAGAGCGCCCTCGGTGCCTCTGACATGCAGCACCTCGCACTACGCGGGCCTCGGCTTCCTCCACTTGCAATTGCAGAGCTGCGACGAGCAGCTCTCCAACTTCCTCGGCGTACTGCTGCGCGGGCTGATCGATTTAGGCCTCGACATTGGGCATTGGCAATTGGCGTCAATTGGGGTTCTTGGATGTCCCGGGCACCTCTTACACCTATGCGAAGTCTTCGGGATATGGCCCAACTTTCTTGCTCGGATTCACGTGGCCCGCTTGGGCAAGCCCACGGGAGGTTATCGGTCTAGCACCATATTACCTTCTATATACCGCGTCTGAGCGAAGGCTCGTCTCGACTGGGCTTGTTCTTGAGCTTCCATGACAAATCGCCATTACCTAGCCCTGGGTGCAGGGGTGTCCACTACGGACGTCGCCGCTCGCGTCTCGGCGCAGGCTGAGGCGGGGGGAGGGCGCCAGAGAGAAGCCCCACTGCATGCGATCGTGGACATCGCCAAATGTTTTGACACAGTGCGGGGGTCCACCTTGCTTCGCGCTGCAACCGTGCGTGGTTTTTCTGGGTCAGCATAGCCATCTCGCCATGCGCGTGTATGTTGGGGGGGGGGGGGGGCGACTGGCGTGGGATAGTTGTTCTTCCTCGCCGGTGCTCGCCCCCAGAGGAGTCCTGCCTGGATGTGCGATGGCTACTTTTGCGCTGCAGTGTGCCATGCTCACCGCCTTTGGCTCTCTTGGGAAGCGCGCTGCCTTCATTCCACGCACGCTGGACCTCTATGCAGACGACATTGCTGTACCTTATCGGGGGTCATCAACAACATCGGTCCCTGGTCGGCTAAGGTTTTGCGCCTGCTCGTTCATATCCAGGAGTCACTGGGCTTTTCACCCGCCAGCCACAAAATGAAGATGACTAGTAGCAATCCTAAGATTGGGCAGTGGATCAGTTACAAGCAATGGTCTTTGGGTTACGTCTATGTCTCGGCGCTGGAATTCGTGGGCATCTACGTGGCCCCAGGTAGGGCTATGACGTTCGGGCGCCTCAGGCAAAGGGTTCGTACCGTGACTGGGCGACGACCGAGGTTTCGCTCACTGGAGAGCGCAGGCGGCGCCGCCCGCAAGCGCCGCAGCGGCGCCGCCTGCAGTTAGCGATGGGGTCGGCGTTCACGGAGCCCCGCCTCGATTCGAAGACCAGATGCGCGCTTGCCGGAGCGCAGCATGGCACGCAACATCAGGAGTCACACTTGGCCGACCCGCAAATAGAAGCCTGTGCCGCCCCATTATATCAGGGGCTTTGCTCTACCCAGACACTGGAGTTACTGGTGGGATTACCCAGGCTGCGTGGCAGAACCAGATGCGTAAGGTTCACGGAGCCGCCTGCCCGTGGGGGCGCGAGGCTGGCCCTGCCGGGGCCACCCTCCCTGCCTTTCGAGGACCTCCGATGGACTTGCCCCTCGGGACACAGCTGGCGCACGGACCTGGGAGTTGACTTGGTCGTTTGCAAGGAGGCCCCTGCTACTGTTGGATCCTGGCCCGTGAGGCCGCGGCACGCAGGTTTTGGGAAAGGTGGGCCGATCGGCCTGCCCCCGCTGGCGAACCTATCACTTCTCCAAGGAACCTGTGGGATACTGGCTAGAGCCCCTCGACGAGCTCCCCAAGCAAGTCCTTGCCCCAGGCCCCAGGGACTCCGACATCGACGTAGACAGCCACAGCCCGCAGCCTGAGCAAGAACCGTTGGATCCAGAGTCACTAGGCCCTGTGCGTGCTTGGGGGCCTGACTTTAAGGGGGCAGGACTACTTCGCGCCCTGCTCACTGGATGGCTGTGGACACCTGCTCGCTTAGAAGCATGCGGGCACCGGGCTGGCTCTCCTTGCCCGCGCTGTGAGCAGCAGGGGTGCGATCGGCATCGCATTTTCTGGTCGTGCGCATACCTCGCAGACGAACGTGCAGCGTGCACGAGGGATGCTGAGTTCAGCGCTTTCCCACCACAGTCAGCTATGAGTCCTCTTAGGTCTCGTGGTCTGGTAAGTCGAGTTTGTTTTCCCCACTCGCACCACGAGGCGACAGTGGCCGGTGGCGCAGCAAGCACGGGGACCCCCATGGCATCACAGGGCACATGTACACGGACGTGGCATGTCAACGTGTGTGGTGTTGGCCAGAAGCTACCAGAGCAGGGTGGGGATTCGTGCAACCTCGAGCTTGGAGGCAGGGCGTAGACGTCCTGGCGTGCGGGGCTCTTCCTGGCCCGCCCCAGTCCCCCCCTAGAGCGGAACTTCATGCGCTTCCCGAAGTGTTGATGGTTTGTTTGCCCCCGATACTACAAGGGCCTCCTGGGCGGAATTTCGCGCGGCCCTCAATGGCGCTGCATGCCCAGGCGTCTTGACGCGAATGTCTGTGACGCCATTTTGGAAGACAGTTCTGAATTTGGGAGAGGAGGTCTCGAATATGGGATCAAGGTCAACCTCGTCGCGGGTCATCAGCGTGGGAACGACGCCCATGCTGTTGGCAAACGCTGGGCTGACTTCGCCGCCTGCAGCGGTAGGGGCCTGCACGGATACATAAGCTTGCTCGCAAGGCAATGCGGCTAGCCCACAAGCGCTACAGGAGCTGGTTACGGCGGCAATGTTTTGCTTTCTCTGAGTTTTAGGCTGGCCAGCGATTTGATGCCAGGCCTCGCACGAAACCCAGAGTGAGACCCTGGAAATCCAAGCCCCCCCATTGCTCTGGTTCGAGCTGCCAAAGGCCCGTCTGCTGGCGAGCCTCATCCTGTTGGCGCCCCTTCTGGTGGCGCCTCGCGCGGCCATGCCGACAGGAAGAGGCCTGCCATGCTGGGAGGGGTTCTTGGCCCTTGTGCTCGCGGTGACCACCCCTTTTCGTCCTCTGCCTTCGTTCGCTCATTGCGCCCTCGGACTGAACCTTTGGACCCTGTTGAAGTGGACGGCGCCCCCATTCAAAGCGGTAGGTCGCGCAGTGTCCCGAGTGCGGAAGGTGCCCGAAATGTCCGTAACAGATGCGCGTGAGAATGCCGCCTCTGAGCGAGACCAGGCGGTAGCTGATCTGGTTCCAGATCGATATGGCCCAGTTTTGCGCCCCGGTAAGAGGAGGAGGAGGAGGAGGAGGAGGACAGGTGGCCAGTATCGGAACATACCCACACTGGCCGCCTCCACCATTCCCGCTCCCCGTCTCCCCCCAACGGGCCCCGTTCCCGCTCAGGCCGCCAGGGGTCTCGGGCTCTGGGTAGCCAGTGGGCAACGCTGCGTGTGTGTCTCTTGTTTTTTGCTCACGACTGGAACAACGGGATTTTGGATGATAGACCGTCCCTCGGCCGATCCTGCCTACAGGGTGTCCGAAAAAAGGGTCACTCGCAATCGGCGCTTGTCTTTCGGCGGGCACCACCCAGCCGACGAGGGGGCCAAGGGGTCTAGGCGACTCCCGCCCCCTCGACCTCTCCATGTTCATGACCCCGAAATTACCTGGGCCAGGCTCCTGGGCCACGATTTTGTTTCTAACGAGGTTGGGAGGGACTAGCGTCACGAGAGCGGAGCCCCCTACAGGTGTGCTCCCCGTGGCACTACTAACTCTTTCGTCCCCTCCTTCCTCTGTTTTTCCTCATTGTGCCAGCGTCGGCCCCGCGATCCTCTGGTGGGGGTGGCGATTTTCTGGCGCCTGGTGTTTCGGCCTCAGAATCACCCCTCTTCTGTGCCCGCCACGCGCTGGGAGTTTTGTGCGGCGTCGCCAATGCAGTGCGGTATCCTCCTCCTCCTCCTCCTCCTTCTCCTCCTGCTCCTCCTCCTCCTCCTCCTCCTCCTCCTCCTCCTCCTCATCTTCCTCCTCATCCTCATCCTCATATTCCTCCCGTTCCCTTCTCTTAGATACGCAGGGGCTCCTCCTCCCCTCGCTTCCCTTCTCTCCCCCCGTCCCTCTCCTTATTCTCTCCTGCCCCGTCCCTTCCCTTCTCCCGTTGGCCGCGCCCTCGTCCAGGCCGCCCGTGGCCGCGGCAGGCAAGAGATGCGAAGACAGAGGCCAGCCCGCGTGGACGGCCCCGAGGTCCATCCCGGCCGGCTTTTCCGTCCATGGTGGTTTCTGGCGGCCCAGGGTTGCGACGCGGGCTTCCAAAGGCCGAAGCAACTTGTTCAGGCGGCGGCGGCGACGGCGACGGCGACGGGCGCGCGCCGCCCTGAGGTGACCCGCCTGGACGTGGCTGGCGGGGCCGCCTGCCAAGGGCAGGGCGGCAGCGTGGAGGTCCACTCGCTGGCCCCGGGGACCTCGTACTCCAGACGAAGAAGGGGGGGAGGAAAGGGGGGGGGTTGGGCGCCCGCTCATGGGAGCCTTGAACGGACGGCAAAGGGATCAGTCCTTCTGGCATTTGGGCAGCAGTCTGGGCCGCGCTCGGCCGTTCCTCCTGCTGCTCCTCGCCCTTCCTGGTCCCCCTGGCTCCCCCTCCTCGTTCGTCTCGTCTGCGCTGTGCATCGGGCGAATCTGGACCCAAATCTGGTCTCCACATCCGGTCCAGTTCATGCCTACATCGGACAGCGCCGGGGGCCACGTATGATCCTATGGCACGGACACCCGTGGAGGGGGGGAGGTGGAAGTGAGAGGGGGCAACGGGGGAAGGGGAAGGGGGACGAGGAAGGGGAAGAGGGAAAAGGGGAGGGGAAGGGGGACCGTGGGAACGCGAATGGGGGAAGAGGAAGGGGAAGAGGGAAGGGGAAAGAGGGAGGGGGAGGGGAACGGGGTGAGGGGGAGGGGAAAGGGGGGAGGGGGAGGGGGACAGAGGGAGGGGAGAGGGAGGAGAAGGGGGAGGGGAGAGGGAGGAGGGGGGGGAGGATGAGGCGGATGAGGATTCTGTCAGCGAGGGAGGAGGTGGGAGGAGGAGGGGGGGAGGAGGAGGGGAGGAGGGGAGGAGAGGGGAGGAGGAGGGGCCCACATCTCCGACGATGTGATCTTGTCAACGAGCGATGGCTCCGCGCGTTTCGGCTCTCGGGGGCCGCTGTCGGGCCCCGGAGGGCCATCAAAAGACGGGTCGGCGACGAAGGCCCCCCGTTGGGGAGCGGTCGGGACCTCTGAGGCCGCGGATTGGGCAACATCCTAGCGGCGTGTGTCGGGTGGGAGGGAGGGGGGAAGGGGGAGGGGTGGGGGGGGGACAAGCTGTGTGCGCTCGCGTCATGTCTGACGTCCTACCCCTCCCTCCCATCCCCTACCATGGCGCTGATTTTCTCTATCCGCGGACGCGTGTCGTAGCGGACCTGTGGCTCCGCGCGTGCGTGAGTAGTGGGTGGTGGTGCGCGTGCGTGCGTGCGTGTGTGCGTGGTTGTGGTGGTGGTGGTGGTGGTGGTGGTGGTGGTGGTGGTGCTGGTGGTGGTGGTGGTGGTGATGGTGGTGGTGGTGGTGGTGGTGGTGTGTGTGTGTGTGCTTTTGTGCGCGTGTGCTGTGGTGTGACGTGGTGTGGCGTCTTGGTGGTTTGGTGGTGGGCCAGGTGCGTGCGTGCGTGATGGCGGTTGTGGCGGTGGTGGCGGTGGTGGAGATGGTGGTGTGTGCGTGTGTGTGTGTGTGTGTATGTGTGTGTATGTGTGCGTGCGTGCGTGCGTGCGTGCGTGCGTGCGTGCGTGCGTGCTTGTGTGTCTGTGTGCGCGCGCGTGTGATGTGGTGTGACGCGGTGTAGCGTGGTGGTGGTGGGTGGGGTAGTGGGGTGGTGGTGGCGGTGCGCGGTGGTGGTGCGCGTACGTGCGTGCGTGCGTGCGTGCGTTGGGTGGAAGTGGCGGTGGGCGGGGCGGGGCGCGGTGCGGTGGTGGCGGGCGGATGGGCGCGCGAGAAAGAGGCACGCGCTGGGGCGAGAACGCCATCCTGAACGACGGAGGCAAAACACCGATCCGAAAATGAGGCCCACGCTGCAGCGGGAGCACGATTCGGAACGAGCGGAAGCCCGAAAATGAGGCCGGCGCCTCAGCGAGAGCAGCATTTTGAAAAAACCCAAGCGAAAACCCAATTCCGGGAAATCCTGTGTGTGACAAAAACAGTACGCGGAGGGGTGCCCCGCCTCTTCCTCCACGCATTACGTGGAGCTGCTCAGCAAACTGCTGACGAGTTCCCTGCTTCACAGGGCCTTCGAGCAAGGCTTCTTGTTACAGTCGACTCGAGGTCTAAGATCGAGGTCGACTCGGGGAGGGCAGTCTCGTGTTAAATTCGTGTTGGCTGGATGTTTTTGTGCATCCTGGGGAGGGTACCCTTGGATGTCCTTTCTGTTTTGGCCGACGGAGGGTCTCATGTTCTTAAAGGTTGTTCGTCGGCCCAGGTCAGACTTTTGTATACCAGGGGTGACGCCCGTGGCGCTGCTTGAGCGCCGCCCGGGGCAGTTAGGCGGCCACGCAGTGGACCCCTGCGCCCCTCCCCCGCTCTCCCTCCATACCCCCGATGCCGTTCTTCTTTTTCACGTGAACTCCCCGCACGGCTCGACTGAAGTCGGGCGTGTCCCTCTACAGGAGGAACACTCAAAATGAATAAACAATTGTTTGGAGACGATGTTTGTTAGTATGTGTGAAGCATTGTTGATTGTTTTTTGATAGTGAGCATTTCTTGATTATTATGTTTTCAACATTGTTCCACCCGACAGGTTGGGGTTGTTGGATTTCAAGAACAGACCCCCCGGCCAACCCCACCCTGCATACCGCGGCCGCCAGACCCCAAGTTGTCCCGAGAATCTCCAAGTATCTCCGAGAGTCCCTGGGAATCCCGCCCCCTCGCCCTCGACAAACACGACTGCATACCGCGGCCGCCAGACCCCAAGTTTTCCCGAGAGTCCCCGAGTGTCCCTGGGAGTCCCGTCTCGCGCCCTCGACAAACACGAAACAGCACAACAGCGCACAACAGAACATGACAGAACATAATATAGCAAAATCATGACAACATAGAGCAACATATAAAATCACAAGACCTACCCGGGCAGAGCATTACATAACAGAAAACGACATAGCACAGTACTAGAACATACTTTGTTATAACATAACGCACCCTGGCGGGACATAGCATATCATGGCACAGCGCTCAGAACATGCCATGGCACGACAACAGAGCATAGCGACGAACACGACATAACACAACGTGCCACAATATAAGATAACAAGACATGATGCAACCATGGCATAACGTGACGGCACATAACGTGGCAGTATTTTCACATAGCCTATCATGACAGAACACCACATAACATACCAGAACATATCACGCCAGAACAGGCTAACATAGTAGACAGAACAGGACAGGACTGAACAGAGCATGACAGAACATGACAAAACAACGCATAGCAGGAAAGAACAGAGCACACCAGAGCATCACATAACAAATCAACACAGAACGTCACGTAACAGAGAACCACAGAACATCACAGAACAAGCCAAACCAGAGCACTAGAGAAGATCACATAACAAACCAAAACCAGGCCAGGCCCCCAGTTGCCCCGAGAATCCCCGAGTCGCGCCCTCGACAAACCCGAAACAACACACCTTTACACAACAGAACATGGTTTAGCATAGCGTAGCAATACCATGACAACATACATCATAGTATAGCATCACAGACATATCCGGGCAGACAGTTACATAGCAGAAAACGGCATAACACACCATACCATGACATAACGGATCATATCATAACACATATTGACGGAACAGATCATATCATGGCACAGCGTTCAGAACAGAACATGACACAACAACAGAGCATGTCGACGAACACGACAGAACACAACATGCCACCATGGAAGGTAGCACAAAAAACGCGATCATGACATCACACGACGGAACATAACATGGCAGTATCATTACCACACATGACATGACATATCATGGCATAACATCCCAGATCGCATTATGACAGGGCAGCACAACATTCTACGCATAACACGACAGAACATAACATATCATGACAGAACATGACACACCATTGCACATCATGAAAGAACAGGGCACACCAGAAACTCACATAACAAACCACAACATAAGGTCACATAACAGAGAACCACACAACATCACGGAACAAACCAAACCAGAGCACAAACCAAAACCAGGCTGGACCCCCAGTTGTCCCGAGAATCCCGCAATCCCTGCCGCCGCCCCACCGCGAGCGGCCTCCTCGCCTGCGCCCCTCAGCCTAAGGAGGGCAGGGGTGAGGAAGGAGGAGGGGAAGGAGGCATGGGGCAGGAGGAGGACAGGGGCCCAAGGTTTCGGTGGGGATCGCTCGAAGCAAATTATGTTGTTTGACCAGTGCTTATCTTTCGGCCAAAAAATCCGCCTGTGGGAGGACACGCCCGACCTAAGGCTCGACCCACTCCACGGGACCGGCCTGTCATCCCGAGCTGTGTTGTTGGTTGGTCCGGGGGGGCCTAAAACGACACGAAGATCGGGACAAAATCGGATCGGGATAACTCGAAATCTCTGAGAACCGGCGGGTTTGAAGGATGTATTGGGCGCCGCGGCCGCTCCAGAGCGTTCCGGAACGCTCTGAGAGCGCTCCGGAACGCTTTGGAGCGATTCATCCCGATCCTAGCCTTGTTTTAGGGGCCGAAAGAGCGCCCCCTGGGTGCAGAGAACGGTGAAAACAAATGACTCCCGTCATGATTTTGATCGTTGTCGTACTTGTTGTTTTGCTGATCGGCGTGGGCCCTCGCACCCCCCCCGTCCCCCCCCCCATGGGGTAGATCTTGGCTGTTTGGAGCGCCTGATTCGAGCAGGCGGGCTGTTTTGGGCGCCTGATTCGAGCAGGTGGAGTCTCCCCCAGAGGACGCACTGTTGCAAACAGTCGCGTTCAGCAGAGGCCCCGAGCCAGATCCCCCCCCACCCCCCATCTGTCCAATGTCAAAACGCAGAATGAGAAATCGTTCATATTCAAACGCGGCGCAAGGGTACCTGGGCTCCTCGTGCAATCCCTCTCTTCCTGTCTTCTTTTCTCCGGCGGGAGGCGAGGACTGGATGGGGCTAGGATGAAGTCTAGCACGTCCTTCCACAGGAGAAATATTAAACATAGTTTAAAGATAGTGTGCATAGGGGATTTGTTTGACTATTTTTGGCTAGTTCTGATTTTGTTTTAAAACCATGTTTGATTTTTCGTCGAACATGCGCCTGTAGGAGGACATGCCCGACCCAAGGCCATGACGAGGATCAATCCGTTTCATTGCGTTCCGGAAGGATCTCAGAGCGTTGAGGAACGCTCTGAGAAGGCCGCGGCGCCAGAGACATCCTCCAGAGCCCTCAGATCTCAGAGACTCTCGATTTCCTCCTCACCTCGGAACGAACGAAATGGGCACGGAAAGAATGGGTACAATGCCCAACAGCGGATCTGGTTCATTTTGAACAGGACTCGCTGTCCACGCCGCCGCGGCCTGTGTCCGTTCGAGACAGAAGGCCGCCTGCCCAACAGCGGCCGCTGTTGGTTTGGGACAACATTCATTGTTGGGCATTGTACCCATTCTTTCCGTACCCCTCTCGGGCGTCCAAATCACCCGAGTTTGTTTTGGTCTTGGTTTCGTCTGAGTCTGGGCTGTGCCTCCCCGATCCCTCCCTCTGAGTCGGGCGGGAGGCGAGGAGGAGAGGCACTCTTAAGTCGGGCCTGTCCCCCTACAGGGGGATTTTCGACGAAAAATGAAAAATAATATTAAAAAACGAAAAATGATCCAAACATAGTCTGGGGACTATTTATTATTATTATTATTATTATTGAATCGCTTCGCTCATTCCGCCGGCCCATAGTGTAGCGTCGCTGGCACTTGCTTGCGTGCTCGGGGGGGCATTTGGGTGGCCTCCTGGGGCCGCTTGGGGGCCTCTTGGGGGCCTCCTGAGGGCCTGTTGGGGGCCTCTTGGGGCCTCTTAGGGGCCTCTTGGGGCCTCCTGGGGACTTCTGAGGGCCGAGGGCTCGAAATATTGTTTCGTGTTCCCCCCCTGGGGTCCCTCTTGGGGCGTTCTTGGGGCCCTCTTGGGCCGTCTTGGAGGCCTCTTGGGCCGTCTTGGAGCCCTCTTGGGCCGTCTTGGGGCCCTCTTGGGGGCCTCTTGGGCCCTCTTGGGGCGGTCTTGGGGGCCTCTTGGGCCGTCTTGGGGTGTCGTGAAGCCGAAAAGGTGGAAACGCCAAAATCTCTCCAAAACCTAAGGAAAAGCAGTGAATTTTGCCTCTTGGGGCCCTCTCGGGAGTGCTCTTGGAGGCCTCTTGGGGCGTCTGGGGGCCATCGTGGGCGTCTTGGAGCGATCTTGTGGCATCCCGGACCCCTCATGTAGCATCTTGGGGCCTCTTGGAAGCCTCTTGGCCCTTCTTGGGGCTCTCGGGGACGTCTCGGAGCCGCGTTGGTGCGCTGCTGGAGCGCCCTGGTGACTCCTCCCGGGACTCTCTCGGGACCTTGCCGGGGTACGTTCCGCCCGGGGGCCCCCAGGGGCCGCCCCGCGCGCGCGAAGTAGAAAGATTGTAAAGCAGTCACCGGAGATCTTAGCACGCCTCTGGCCCGTTGGGCCGGCGAATTTTTTTTTGACCTTCTTTGGGCATTTGTGTGTGTGTGTGTGTGTGTGTTTTTCCATTTTTCTTCGAATATCCCCCTGTAGGGGGGCCAGGCCCGGCATCAAGGTACTCCGCCAGCCTGGCGGCCACCTGGGCCCGCTTCGGCGGTGGAAGCGCCGCGTCCCGGGAGCCCGGCGCCAGCGGGCAGGCCGGGGGCAGGCCCGCCAGCGGGGTGCCGCCAAGCTCGCGCGGGATGGCAGGTCACGTTGCTTACCAGCCTGGAGCTTATTCCTGTCCCTATCTTGGGCATCGCCTCATCACGATGGCGATCTTAGGGATTTTTCCGCGGCTTCTGAGGGTGTATCCCTAAGGTTGTCATCTTAGGGATAGGATAGGGATAGGATAGGTTCGAGGCTGGGATCTTAGGGATAGGGATAGGGATAGGGATAGGTTCGAGGCTGGTGAGTTGCATCTTTCGGGGGCCTCGCCCGTCCCCAGAGTTGCTGTCGTTTCTCTTGTGGCTCAGACGCGGGCTCGATGCGGGCCCGACGTGGATTTGGCGCTGGCTCGTCGCGGATCCGACGCCGATTCGACGCGGATCCGACGAGTGCGAAGCGGATTCGACGCGAATTCGACGCGGATAGGGCCGCGACGAGACAGTCAAGGTCCCCCTGAGGATGCAACATGACGAGGGCTCGTGTCTTTTTTTATTAGTGAGCGTGTGTGCGCGCGTGTGCGCGCGTGAGCGTGCGTGTGTCTGCGTGCGTGCGTGCCTAGGCCTCCTAGACGGGGTCCGAGCAGATGGAGTCGGAGGATCCCGCCGCATCGCCGATGCATCAGCGATGCGGCTCGATGCGGAACCCGATTTTCTCCACGCCGACGTCGTCGATGCATCGCCGGCGTCGCTGGTGCATCGCCGGTGCATCGCCGATGTGTGTGTGGCGTTCTTGGAGGATTAAAGTTCTCCGACATGTTCTGAGTCTCTCGGCGATTATCCAACCCCGGAGTGCGCTCCAGCAGATGAGCCTCGCCGAGAGCTATTCGGGGGTGCCTGGATCATCCTGAAAGGCCCCAGTCGGGCGTTGCTAGATACAAAAGTGGTGACAACCACATCTCGCGCAACAAATCAGCAGACCGTCAGCACGTGTGCCAGCAGAGAGTGCGTGCGAAGGGTGGGCGCGTCTTAGGCGGTCGCGGGAGTCGCTTGAAACGGGTGTGCAGCGTTCATTGCTGCGACGAACATCTGCGCCGTCATAGTGTCTGAGTGTAAAACATGTAGCTCAGTATCAGGGAGCATGCTCAGCTCTCCACCAATCGTGGACTAGCGAGAGCTTAATCTTGAAACCATCTTGCGATCTCCCTTCGCGCGGACTCCTAGGCCCAAACTCCAGCATGCGCGGGATGTATCTCAGAGTGCTAGCGCATCCTTCAGTATCCAAGGGCCGACGCCGACGCCAGATCGAACGGCTGATGCATCTGGAGGGCCGACTTAGCAGACTGATAACATTGCTGCGAAATGCGAAAAGGCAGCAATTCCCCAATGGCTACTCTGTCCTGAACTCGATGGGACCTGGTTTTGATCGCTGCCTCTCAAAGCTTACTCCTGTCGCTACCCATCGCTGTGCGAAAGGTACCTGGATACATTCGTCTGTCAGACAGGCGGGCGGCCAGTGGTTTGTCGAAGCCGTCTAGTGTACCGATTTGCAACCTGCATACTTTCAGAGATAATCTGCTGAAGCACCAGAAATCAAAGGTGCTCGCATGCCTGAGGTGTCTGCGGGAGCGGAGCAAGAACCGGTCCCGCAACTACGACCTCGAGCTCCCCCGATCCCGAATAACCGCAGTCCGCCCCAGCGGCCCGATCCACGTGCCGTCAGGGCCCGAGTTGGGCCCGACATGACACACGTTCATACCACTCCTACTACAGTCTCTATACCTACATGTCTGTCTGCACATGGAGGGATGGCATCAGGGTCCGAGCAAGGGTGCGGGATGATTCTTAACTGAAGTGTACCTCCTTGTCAGTGTTCTGTTTTAGACAGTTAGCAAAGAGGACAGGGGGAAGGACTTCATGTGACCATTTCACGGCATCCTAACCTTGACAGTGCAACAGACGGTGTGCCAATGTATCACCTGCGCAGGCACACAAAGCACAACAGTTATCGATAAGCGATCTTGCAGCTGCAGCCCTACTAGTGACCCAGTATCCCTGGCAGAGCACAGCCCTCAGTCGAGCCGCTTGTGCCGAGGTGAGCCTTTCTTCCCTTTCTGAATTCAGTATTCTCCTGGCCACATCAAAACTAACCCTGGGAACGTCCTGGGAGCGACTCAGACTGTGAGCGGCTTTGATTTTCCAGATCCTCGCGCAGGCATCCCGCAACAAGAACTCCACGAGCTTGGGCGAAACATCCGCGAGCGAGAACACCGTGCCTTCGCGCGTGCAGAGCACAAAGGGTCCCCGAAAACACCAGCCTATGCTGTCGAGGGCTCGCGCCGCCGCCGTGACAGGACCTCGAGCATGGTCGCGCGTAAGTCCGGACCTTGGCGCGATTCGTTTCCAGGAGCTCGATGGACCACATCGGGGCAGCTTTGCCAATGCCTGCGGCTCAGACTTCCCGAGACCATCTCCAGACTGGCGCCAAAGCCCAGTTGTCAGCTTGGGACTCGTACAAGGCGAACGTGACAGATCTGCTCTTTCATTTTACACTTGGGCCCCATGGCCGACAACTCGATGCAACGAAGCTGTTCAAGATGAGTTCTGGC